CTGAGTAGGTCTGGGTTATATGGGGGGGAGGGTTAATTGTTGCGGCATATACTGTATACCTGACCGACTCATGCAAAGTCTATGCGTAAAAGAATGATTTTTATGCATACACGTTCTACAAATCCCCATTTGACAATGTAGCATTATCAAATTAGATCAATAATTTATAATTTGTAATATAAACATAGCAACGATAGTCACTTGTTTCTACCTGTGCACCTGCCAAAAAATGTACTTAACCTTACTTTTTTACTGTAACTTTACAAGTTTTATAAAAAAGTAATGAATTTCCGCAGATAATGAAATGCATATCAATAATGTACTGAATTAGACGAATCGAATGACGTATAACTCACTCCGATCGTTGAACGGGCCGTTTGCTAGGAATGTTCCACTCTCTTAAATCAAAAATTACATGGCGTGAAACACGTTAATTAGATCGGTGATGGTGATACAAAAACGTTTAAATAATTTTGAATTTAAATCTCTATGTAGATATAATAGTGAGCAAAAAAAAATGCATAGGCCACATCCAAAAATGAATTGGCACTCATCTGCGGACTATAAAAAAATCTCACAAAGTTATCGAAGAAAAATGATCAATTTGACTGATTGAATCACTGTTAAATTAAATAGCTATTGGGAGAAACTTGAATTCAGTAGAGGACATGACGAAAACAGCAGTGGGCAGCTATATGAATGCTTTTTTTCCAATGATTTCTATACTCGCTGAGAATTTTGTTACATAATTTGTATTAAGATGCTTCGATTTTAATGAAATAATATATCATTTAAAAACTGTGTCAATTTCCTACATTATATTATATTCCATTGTTAAATTAATGTTCTGTAAAAAAAGTTATTAGCATTCAAAGTAGAGCACCTACTGCTGTATCTATACTTTCTTGACTAACTGTATTTTTTAACCCTGTATAATCTAGTGTAATTTTAATGTGACATACCACAAATGAATTTAAATTACATATACCACCATTTCCCTTAGATACATTTTAGTTTTGAAAATAATTAAATTAAAAACAATATGTGCAAAGTTCATAAATTTAATCTTATTTCTTAAATTACTAATTACAATTTTTCAGAATACACTTGATCATATCACACAAAATATAGTTTAGAAAATACTGGTATCTGTTAATATAAAAGAATTCTTTTACTATTATCCATCATCGCATAGGAATCGTAAACCTTTTTCTGCAATAAAATGTTTATTAAATGAAATTTACTTATTAATTCATATAATAGTTTTAATACATTCCAATATCCTATAATGCCCAAATGTTTCATTAATCATAGAACAACTATGCAAAAACAAGTCAAAAATATGGAATAAAATTACTTTATTTAACCTTCCATTATCAAGAAAAACAACTTTGAAAATTTATGAAATATGTATGTATACTCTGTACAATAAAACATAACAGCATTTTGAACAATTTCTCTAATAGAATTTACTCTAGAGTTAACTATCTTATTGTGATTTACAGAGACATTCTAATCAAACACAGTTTATATTAGAATCCATTATATCTGGATTAACCAAATAACTCTTTATTGAATATTTAAATATAAAGGGTATTCGGCCACCCCTGGGAAAAATTTTAACGGAAGATTCTAGGAACAAAAATAAGACGAAAATCAAGAATAGCAATTTGTTGATTGAGGCTTCGTTAGAAACGTTATTAACGTTTAAAGTTCCGCCTGTAGAATAGTAATCTGCGAACAGCTGCATACACGCGGAAGTTTGTGGCAGGCCAGTGCTAGTGAAAAAGGAATTAACTAGTTTTAAGTTATTTATTAATATAACAATAGAGTACTCGGTAATTTAGATCACTCATAAATGCTTCACTATTAACGCCAAAGGCCCAAACTTGTCTAGAAACAGTCCTATTCCTGTCAGAAGACCCCGCTAACCTCCCTCTTTGACACTGCAACACGTATTACTAGTTTATACGTTTCTTCGAGCAAATACACGGTTTCACATCGTGTCAATCATAATACACATTAACTTGAGACTATATGTACGTCTACTTAATTAATAAACACTGTCTAAAGCTTATTATTATTATAATAACTACAATAGTGTCCACGTAAATAACCGCATTTTTGCTCACTTAAATGTCCGTGCTATCCTCATCAATGCCCGTTATCCGTTATCCCGATCGCAGACATTTAAATGGGCACTAGCTATATAAATCACTGTATATTTATATATATCAAGACGGCATCTACCATAAATCGCCCAAGTTTGTCGAGATATAATTCACTTTTTACACACTAGATGGTGCTCAAATTATTTACGATCGAAAACTAATCTTAATTTATTTATTAATACAACAATAGAATATTCAGTAATTTAAATCACTTATAAATGCTTCACTATTAACGCCAAAGACTCAAACTTGTCTAGAAACAGTCCTATTCCTGTCCGTTAATTCCGTTAACTTGTGTCCTAGGTTAGCGATGTCTTCTGACAAGAATAGGACGTTTAGTGAAATAATCAGTGTTGTCAGACTGTAGGAAACAAATATCCTTTTCAAGTAAAAAAACCCTGTTTCACATAAAAAAATTACCATTCATTATAAATACCACGGACTGTAATAATATTTCAAATTTTTTATATGAGAATATTATGTTTTAAAGAATTAGTAGGGTAAAAGACTCGATTATTATCACGTGAACGATCAATTTTAGAAATATGACATTGTTTCTTTAATTTAATTATCCAAAATATAGGTTTTTGTTCTTATATATTATTACTCAATATCTTTAGTTTAAGTAAAAAAATACTATGACTCTTAAAATCTTTATTTTTATACAATACAATAAATGAATAAATAAATAATTAGAATATAAGAATATAATTTACTCAGTTTGTTATTCATCTTCATCATTTTCCTCTCCCTTTACAGCTGATAAGTTAGATACTTGTATTATTAAATAATTGTAACGTTGATTTCAATTACCAGTAAAAAAATGTGTTCAACAGAAGCATTGGAATGGGGCAAGGTTAAACAAATCTTTCCCAATCTGCCAATATTTTCAAGATGTAATTCCTCATTAAAATTATGGCATTCTTTAATTTTCTTTAAAAATTCAAAAATATAAAAATTTAAATAAGCTTCTTTTTCTTCTTCATTAAAGTAAGTGAGCAAAATGTTCTACTCATATCTAGTATTTTCTGTATCAATTTTAAAACTAAATTTTTTAAGAATTTGTGTTAAATTTACCCATTAAAAGAAATATTTGTTTCTGAAACACGAGAAGGTTCTAAGAAAGTTAAACTTCAAATAAGACCATTTTACAATGATAGCCTTTTTAATAATTTATCAAATGCTACTTGATAAAACCAAAGGCATCTTACTCTGAATCTTTTCATATTATCTAAAATATTTTTTACACTAGAATTTATTATTGCATATAATGTTCTCTCCGCAGATGTGCCTATTTTAATTTTATCTAAGGGTAGCATATTGGAGTTACAATTAAAAATCATGTCGTCATTTAAATGTCAGGTTTTAACAAATTTAAACCTAATAATTTAAAAACTCTTTCAGATTCTATTGTAAGGGTGGAAATTAAACGATTTTTAACTGAAACAACATATTAGCAGAGTTGAATAACACCAACACAACATTAAGCAATTGTAAATAAGCCTTAGTGAAAGGACTGTTTATGTCATTAAATATTATTTCTGCAATTGGATTTTTATCATAAAGGACAGATCAGACTTTAGATCTGTAATATACAATTTCCTAATGTTATCCACCTATTTCTAAAAGAATTAATCTTCTGCTTATTAACTTTCCTTAATGATTAAATGTCATTAAGTAAAGAAAAAATAAGGAAAAATTAAATGCATCAGTGATTTTAATTTTCTGGGGGAACTTCAGATACATCACCAAACGAAAGAAGTGGCATATACATTCTAAAATTACACCTTCAATTTCTGCAAGAAGACGCGTTATAAAAGAATTATTTTTTCCCATCATGGCATATGCATTATCACTGTAATATCCAATAATATTATTAACAAATAACCCATATTTAGACATCATTTGAAAGGTAATTGATAGACATAAAAATTACCATAACTTAACGTATTATTCAAAATTAAAAATGTTTAATTTCATTCAATTTAAATAAAATAATTCAAAATAATTTGATGTAGATTTATATTAAAAAATGTTCCTTTTATTATACACGATTTTCCAAAGTTTAAACTGTTATTACATTTGTGTATGTTCAATTTAAAATTATTTTTATTTTTGTTCAAAATCGTAATTTATTCAAAAAAATATTTAAATGTTTTTACTTCGTGTGGTATTTATTCGTTATTTATTTTTAATAGAAATTAGATAAAATATTAAAATTTCTTAATTCAAGTAAAAGGATGTTAAACTAATTTTTAACACTTATTTCTATAATGTAAAAATTTATTAGTTTATTAAATCAAGAAGCGAATATTTGCAACTCTTTTCGACGTTACATTTATTTCGTTCCTAGAAATTAAGTGACTAGAAAAGTGTTTGTGTACATGAAAAAATTTGTATCTGATAGTAAATGTACATGTATTTTTAATACGATTGTTTTATTTACAGTAATTCATTATATTATTAATGTATGAGAGTAGAATCAATGTACATTATTTAAACTTATAAATACAGGCTAACTTACCTAATTTACTATAAACGCTTTGTTGATGTAACACTATAAGCCTCTATATGTGTTCAAAAATTTTACCAATTAAATTTCTGCACTTTTATTTTGCAAATATTACATGATCAAACAAAAGTAATTGAGAGAAGTCAGCCTTTGATAATAATTAAACTATGAGTGTACATGACATTTTAAAATTAAACAATATATAATATACCTAAATAGTATATACATTTAACTAAGCATCAAATATGTTTTAAAATAAAAGATATTTCTTTTTTAACAAACATATAAATATTTCCAATGTTTATTGGAAGTACGAATATTATACATATTTCACATTAGAGGAAATAATACAGTAACAATTTTTGTCACAAATCACCAATTTAAAAAAGTACCATTTCTCAATATTTAAGGTGATCAAAGTTTTCGTGGTCGACCTCGTTTTCTCAATGTTGTAATTTTACTTGTCACTGATCTTGTAGTATGTAATTTCTTCTGAATGTTTGCTATACACTTCGTATTCTTGTGTATATTTCCATGCTTTTTTAAGTGTTGTCCAAAGAGTAGTCTAGATTTTATTAATTTCTGACAGACATGACATCTACGTATTTTTTCTGTAAAAACAATATGTAATGTATTGTAATGAAATATATAATTATTATAATAAATTATACAGGTTCGCCGGATAATTATGGAAAAGGACAGTTATTTAAATAATTTACCAGATTTTTTCGTTCCATGCTGCAGACAATGTGCTCTTAATAAGGCAGCACTTGGAAACCATCTACCACAATCAGAACAACTTAGTTTTTTTACATCCCAGGTACAATTTAGTTGTTGATTTCTTTTTCTTTTAATTTTTTTAATCATAGTCAGCTGCTTTTTTAGCTCTACAGACTCCTTCTTCTTTTCAATTTCTATAGATGGTCGTTCAATCGACGAATTACTAAATCTACGCTTCTTCCGTTGAGAATGTTCCGAACGTACATGACGAGCTAACGCGACTACTACATCGAATTTCTTCTGACATATTTTACAAGCATACTGTTTCTTAATTGGATCTTCATTTGTTCTATTTCCATGTTTTACTTTTTGTTCGTTAAACTGAATCGTATTCGACGGTGATTTTGAACAGACTCGTAAATGAGTTTCTAAAGCTCTTTGTTGCCTGAAATTCCTTGAACAGTGTTGACATTGCAGTAACATTGTTTTTGAATTTGTCTGTTGTGATTCATCATCAGAATCTCCTACCATGATAATTTCATTCTCTTTATCACTAGAATATTTATCTTTATTATCATCTATAGTTATCTCGACAACATCTCTTTTCGATTGCAGCATACTTTCTTCCTCGTCTATATCAATTTCAATAATTTCAACTTCTTTGTGTTTGATCCGTTTCAATCTCTTTGATTCGTTGTGTCTCTGGCGGTACCCAGAATGGCCTACAACTCTCCTTTTTCGTTTGCCCCTTTTCCTAACATTATTATCTTCCTCGCTTAAAAGAGATGCTGGTTGTATGATTATTTCCGAATCGTCACGATTAACGAAAATTAACTGCTGCTTCCGAGATCTTTTAGTTTTACATTGTATTTGCGTTGTTTCGGGGGATGCACATTCAACAGAACCATTCGATAGATCTAAGTTTGTAGTATTCGATATTACGTCCATAGTCGAGTCTTCTAGCGTTTCTAATAATTCTTGCTGGCTGTTTATGAAATTTAACTTTCTCTCCATTAAAGTGTTGGAAATATGATTAGACAAATTGCAATTAGAATTTTGATGCAATGAATTTTCATACTCGGTTTCTTTGATATTTGTAAAATTATTGTGGTCTCTGGTAACTTTTTTATTTAGTTGTTTTTTCATCGATTTCGATTCGGCCATTTTTAAATTTTGAAGAGTCGCCTGAATTTCATCAAATGTTAGTTCAGAATCGGATTGATCACCCTCAAATAGAATATACTGTACTGTTGATTGTTCTATAATCTCATTATCGCTTTCATCGTCTTCTTGACAATCTTCGGAATTATCTGTTAAATTAAAAATGTTTTTACTAGTTACTCATGTTATATTACATAAACATAAATTTACTAGTATTAAGGTAAACAAATATCTTTTATTAATTTTTCTGCAATTATATGCAAAATAAAATTTCGTAAAAAAATATATTTACTATAATATAGAATGTATAATGTTACTGTTTTTTTCTAAATACATACCAATGTTTACAGAACAATCGTCCATCATTAAGTATGTTACATCTGTCTGTTTATTATCAGCTGCATATAGAATGTCAGGAACTTGTTTTATATCTAAATTCAAATCCGGATCTTCTATTAAAGTTGCATTTTCATCCCATTCATTTTCTTTTTTTAGTATTCTTTGAGTTTCGGTTGACAAAATTCCACTTTCATTATGCATTTGTATATCGCTCAGTGGTTCGCTTTTAGGAAAAAATATTGGTGGTTGTGTAGTCAGTAGCTGCTTTTTTATTTGTGTTGGTTTCTTCACAGTTCTAACAGCACCTTCGCCTATTAATCTTTCAACATCTGCTCTGTAAATACAACAATTTCATTATTGAGTATCTATTAATTATACGCATAAAGAAAACTTGTGATGTACATACTTCATAAGAAACTGAAAATTTGTTGGGGGTTCACCAAATTCATCGTACATTGCTACAGCAAATATTTCATCTGAATCTTCAACTGCGTACAATGCTAATTGTTGACCAGCGGCAGTTACAAAAGTAGCTATAGTTTCTTCATCTCCATATTGATCGTCACTTACTACTTTATTGAAACCAATCTCAGATTCACTTTCCTCTGGCTCCGATAACTATCAAATTACACAGACATATAAAATTATATTATATGTAATGTCACATAAGATGGTATATTTTCTATATTTGATAACAGCAGTAAAATGTAATATATCAGCTCTGTCTAATATATTATTGTACTGTCTCAGTGCAACAAACAATTTTTATACATTATAAGTTCTTTTATGAAATTTTAAATGATGAAATTAAATTATATTTTTATATTTACCAATAGATTATGTTTATCAGTATGATTTTGAAGCCATTTTTCTTTAGTTACATTATTTCTAGATAGTGATACAGAATCTTCTATATATTCAACAGGCATTGTTGCATCTATGCTTTCTTCAAAATATTCAGAGGTTTCTTTCGGTTCACAAATCGCTTCTTCAGAAATTTGTTGATTTATGTCCATGTTTTCTGCTACAATTATTTCTTCGCCAACAACCTATATAAATTATTTCTTATTAATAATATTTTAAACACATAATTTGTACAAAGAATATTGCTTTCAATTTTTTAAATCTGTATATTAAAATATTCATTATGTTACCAATGTTTCTTCTATGTGTTCATATTTAGGTATATCCATGAATTCTGTTGAACTCTCTTCAATTGTACATGGTGTTTGTATAATTTCTTTGGAAATCATTTTTTTGTAACTATCAATATCATTCATAAATGACATATTTTTGTACTGTATTTTCTATTCACCAATATCACACTTTCTCAAATATATTAATAAAACGAAGGCTCTAAAAGACAGAATTAAAAAAATATATTCGAAAATAAGTTAATGATTAAACATTATCGAGGTCACTTAATATACAAAACTGCAGTGCTAAAATATCGCTAGGGTTAGGTTAATCGTAAGTTATGATTTGCAAGTTAAAAATTTTACTAACATTAAAAGCTAATTAAACGCATACTCTTTATATTTAATGGAAATCAATACGAATTACGAATACTCATACTTATAACTGTATTTGGGAAGAAATATACACAACCTTTTAACAACTTTTAAGTTTCATAACATCATAACCCAAATAAAGTAATTAATAATGGCAATCGTAAAATACATATATATACATATGTATAGACATATGTATATCGAGCTCTATGAGATTTCTTTAACGATCACTGCATTCTGTGTTTTACATATCAAAATATAGAACAGTGCATGAAACTATCGGATTTAACACAAGCTTCAGTCTTCCAATTTACGCCATACATAATTAATATTAGATATACGTAGGACTTATGTTCTATACACATGTAGAAACATAACCCTAGACTTTAAACATTGCACGCAGTGTTACCAAACGGCAGACCGATGCGCAAAAAATCTGCCCCTCCACTTACACATACTAATGCATAGCCACGTGTACGTAAGCTTTTATGTTTCGAATAGCTTCGGGGATTCGAGAAGGAAAACGAATGTAAGTCTTTCCTTCTTGTTCTCGATAGAGCTACAATCCTTCAATAGAGATGGTGTGAACTGCTACTTTTGAATTGATTCAATCACGTTCATTCCCAGAGATGCCAGAAAAGCACCGCCGGGTGCACACGCACACATGCCAGATACGCGTACGTGAGCTCGTGGAGTTTCGGAAAGTCGACAAAGGCAAACTGACGCATGCCCTCTTTCTCGATTCTCCGAAGCCGCCCGAAGTAATTTCGGATCGCCTCGTGGGAGTCGAGAGAGAAAGGCTCACATTTGCCTTCTCGCTCTAAACAACTGAAATCCGACCTCCCGTCAACGGCATACGATTTGGATTCTCGAGCCGAGATTCTCGACTGCCCAGGCATTTTTACTTTCCGACCTATGTAGGCGCACATAAGCAAAGTACCCATAATGAAAAAAAATTTTGTAAAATTTATTTTACGGAAATACACGTTTTAAGACCTCCTGATCATATTTTAATTATTGAAAAAAAAGAAATTTTTTTTTATTCCCATGTATGAGCACACATATGTATATTATTAATACGATTGAATATAAATAGCTGAATGAATTTAAATGAAACTTTACATTTAAGTTTTATGTTCTCATTTCAAAGTCCGGTTAGACTTTGACTATAATTAGTCCATGGATAATAACGATTATACCTCTTGTTTCATAGTTGTTCCGATATATGTATAGGCATAATGTATAAAAAATCTTTTAAATGTTTCATATAAATCTTAGGACGAATTAAATTTTATATATGTTAGACAGACGCGTAGAATGGAATTAGGAATTAAGAAATACGCAGGGTATTCGTATACATGCTTTATTCCCGTTCTTCCAGCGTCGGAAAAACAAATGAGCCCGTCCTGGGCCTAGACCCTCGCCTTTGTCGTCAGCCTTTTCCCCCATCGGTAGGGGTGGGAGGGCCTTGCCTTTTCCCGACGCCTTACATATAAAAAAAATTATATAAACTTTTTCTCTATCTTCTCTAGAAAAGAAAAAATTAAATGAAATCTTATACATTACATGCTTACTTAAATCGCATTGAAAACGAATACCACAAATGTTTTAGAATAATGTGCAAAATGTGATTACGATTTTCGCTAAGACAAATTGAAAACTCGGTTCTAACAAGGAAAAGTTGGAATGGTACCCGATTTTGGGGTAGGTTTTACTTTGAGATATTATTAAAGTTATTACAGATACTTATCTTCAGAAATAGAAATACATTCAACAACCAGCGTAGCGTGAATGACAAGGTATTTGCTTGCAAGTTCCGAGCTTCTTCTGCTCTGCAGGTTCAAACCCTGCCAAAACAAATCCTTTTTTTTTATTTTTTCAATCATATTTTAATCGTACACTAAATGTGACATTATATTTTTGTCTGACCTACGAATATTTTTTTTTTAAAGTTGAATTTAACCAATTACATTTAACATATGTTATTTTCAATGTACGAAGTACATGAATCTGGATGGTACTTTTCGTAAAAACAGTGAAAACATAACAATTTCAAGCACCACCTACATCTAATGAAAGTTCTGTTTTCACAGAAATAACAAAATTTTGTATTTAACTCTGATGGAAAGGCCGCTTCATTAACATTGATAAAATGTGAACGATTTTCGGATAGTCGTATCTTGTAGCTCGTACTTTTTACCTTATACTTCAGGTAAAAAGGGATATACAGTGAAAACTCGATAAATGTCGCTACTCCGGGTCCGGTCAGCAACACTTACGGAATAGGAGAATCGTCTTTCGAATTTGATTGTAGTTTGCCGACGCTTCGAACGTAGAAAGAGTCAGTAGCTAAAGAAGAAAGATTGACTGAAACTCGGATTTATCGCCCCAGTTTAAATATCCGCGTCAGTGTGACCACACTACTGCACAAAAGAAAGTTTTTTATTTTTTACTTTTTGTTAATAAAAATTTCACTATCATGTTGGGGAGATTTCTCTGATTAAAATGAGGCTAAACACGATATAAATCGGTCAATATTTGGTAGCATAATATTGAATTAAATATTGTACTTGCGAGTCTTTCTCTCTTTATTTATCCTTCTTGTGCTGTCCTTTTCTATGTTCGGAAATATCAAAGAACGACGCATCGAGGTGCTGGCTACATTTATCGAACGGGAGGTAGCTATTTTAAAACGGAACGGTTCCACCGTTTCGTAAGTGATCAAAAACTGCAACACTTATGAAATAGGGGGTTTCGTTAGCTACCACTGTTCGATAATGTTAGGAAATCGGAGGAAGCGAGTGGCTAAGACGGGCCACATGCGTTTCGTCAACGCACGACCCCTCTCAAGGAAAAGTTCCTTGAGAGCAGGGGTGTCGTAAAAAAAACAAACGGTCACACTGACGAAGGCACCCGCCTCAGGCTAGAAGAAAGTCATTCATTCTTGTAGCGACCATCGCATTGCACGGAGCAAATAAAGAACCAAGTTTTATTTTGAAAACGCCCACACTCATTTATCCTGATTTCTTACAAATCAGAAGCGGGATTTACCGTGATTCGCCGTGATCTGTAGATTTATCGCGATCTACCGTGATTATCGTAGATTTTCGGTGTTTATTGCATAATTTGCGACACTCGTGTACATTGGGTAGTGCAGTGTACAGACAATACAAGTGGAGCAGACACTAAATTGTGCAATTAGTGAATAAGTTTAACGTATAAGTGTAGTGTAAGTACTTCGATAACAATGGATGGTGCATCACACAGCCGTGAGCGCGACGGAGCCGACGGCACCGTGAAGGATTCGCTGGAGACGTGTCTCGAAAGGCTAAAGAGCCTGATGACGGAGTTTTTGTGCCGGTCAAAATCGCGCGCGCCGTCATACGTGTCCCGACGGCGGGAATCACGTGCACGGTCGCGAAGCACGGGACGGAAAACGTCGCGAGGCAGCCGTCGACGATCGCGAAGTTCGCGAAGGCACGAAACGAGGTCGCGCAGCCCGCGAACAACGGATCCGCGAAGAGTACCCGACGCAACTCGCCAGGACCGATCAGAGGAAAGCCTGGTAACCAGGAGTACTGCGTCGAGCAGGAAGTCGCCGACACACGCGCGTCCCGGTGACGAGAATCTGATACCGATTTACGATCCTTCAAAGGAAGACTTGTCAATCGAAAATTGGGTGAGATACGTCGACGACTTGGCGCATCGTTTCGAATGGGACGACCGGAGCGTGATGCGACTGATCGCAAGCAGGCTGCGAGGACACGCTCGCGTTTGGTACGATACGCGTATGCAAGTGGTTACCACCTGGGCTGCAATTAAAGTGCATTTGGTGGCACAGTTTCGGAGAGTCATGCCCTTCTCCAAACTACTACGTGAAGCCGATCTATATGAGGCAAAACCGGGGCAGTCGCTGGGAGACTACTGCTTCCAGAAGACAAATCTAATTCGACGCCTGGACATTGCGCTAAACGACGAAAAAATCGTTGATATGGTGATTTACGGGATACCGGACGAGACGATAGCCCGCACCATACGATCAGCAAAGCACGCTGATCCCGAAGAGCTGTATGCGGCTATGCGCGCAATGGGCAATATGCCGGGCAACGAAGATAGAAAAGCAAAGCAGGAGCGGACACTTAACAAGCAAACGTTGCAGAAGACATCGGAAAACGTTCCGGTGAAAGTGAAAGCATTTACCTGCTTTAATTGCGGGAAAATGGACTACGTGGCAAAGGACTGCAGGAAGCCAAGGGTGGAGTGCAGCCTTTGCAAACGGTTGGGCCATAAAAAGGAGGAGTGTCCACAGAAAGAGGTAACTATTGTACAAAATATCGAACGTACCCCTAATATTTATCAAATTTATGTTCGTATCAATGGGCATAAAGTAGAAAGTTTGGTGGATACGGGAAGTGCATGTACTGTAGTTCATTCGTCCGTAATCAAGAAGTTCTTGATAAAATCAAAGTCTACGCAAGAGACAGTATTTAGAGGATTTGCCGGACAATCGGTAGTAATTGACCAAATTGCTCCAATTACGGTGAAGGTCCAAAATGTAGTTGCGAATGTAGATTCATTTGTTATTCCCGACGAGTATACCGCGCATGAGGTAATACTTGGAAGAGACTTTCTTCAACAAGATCATGTCATAATGTCGAAACGAGGAAAGCATTTGACATTCAACGATTTAAGAAATTGCAAGAAACCCCACATAATTTCAGCGATGGATGTTTTTGTAATTGAGACGAGTCCTAATTTAAATTTGGGTAACATCGGACGGAAAGGACGAAAATTATGCGTCGCGTTAATCGAAGAATTCCGCGATTGCGTATCGTCGTCAATGAAGGATCTCGGGAAGACGAATACGACGTCGATAGAGATCAAATGTCTCACGGACGAGCCGATTGCGTATCATCCGTACCGTCTCGCAGAACCGGAAAAGAAAATCGTTCGCGAAATAATTACAGAACTGCTAGATAACGGGATAATCAGGGAATCGGAATCACCGTACGCAAGCCCGATTACGTTAGTGAAAAAGAAAACGGAGGAGACGAGAATGTGCGTGGACTACCGTAGATTAAACGCAATAACTATAAAGGACAGGTACCCTTTACCACTTATCGACGACCAGATCGATCGGGCTATTATCAAGTTCCAGTCACTGAAAATTCAATAGCAAAGACAGCGTTTATTACGCCGGAGG